TTTCTCTATTTAAAAAAAAAAAATCAAATTCACGGTGACTGGACACTATTAGTGTTTTGAGTTCTATAACTCTCCAGAATTTTCAAAAGTAACCCTGTAGCCAATTCGCTTGCAGACGCTAAAAACAACCTGAAAGAGGCCACCCATGGTGCCAAAAGCAGTGTCAAAGAGCAGAGAGATGATGCCACCAAGTCCCACGGCAATGTCCTTGCACACGATTGGAATTGCACCCATGGTGTACACAGGGAAAGAGGCCACATCTACAAGGACTCGGACAGGGATGCCCAAGATGCGACAAATGGCCTTCAGCAGACAACAGAGGATCCGCAGGATGGCCCTGATGATTTTGACTATGACTTTGAGTACCTTCCAGGGAATGCTCGCCAACTCTTCCCCAATGGCCAAGAAGTACGAGACGGTGGCTGAACCTAGGCGGTAAAGGCAGCTTTGTATGCCGTTAATCACCTGCTTGGTGACATACCACAGGAAATACACAATGCTCTTCAGGATTCCTACCACAAGGTAACAAATTAATTGGAAGAGCTTGATGAATGGGGAAGTGATGAAGCCCATGAATTTTCCGAATAAGCTACTCCTTTCTTCAGGTGCCTCTGGAGGCAGCAGAGCTGACTGCTCGCTCTCTGGGCTGGAAAGGGGACTGGACTTTTCTTTCAAGTGCACCATTCGTTCTTCATCCTGGACTTGGTTCACCATCTCCAGGATTTTTTTCATTTTCTCTGTGTCTTGTTCTGTTTCACCACAGTTGTTCTGGAACAGCTGAGGGTTCAATGGAAGCAGTTTCTCGAGTTCTTTCACCATCACATCTTCTATGACATCACCGTCCCGGGTATGCTTGACAAACCCCATGGCCCAGCCTCCTCCAGGGACAGCACAACAGGCTGCCAGCCAAACAAACTCAGGGATGGTCACTTTGTCTTTGACTTTGTGGTCTGAGGGCACGGCGCCTGTGAGGATATATAGGTCGTCCCCACTGCCACACTGTGGAGTCAGGGCCTGGTCCATTAGGCTGTTGAGGTTCATGTACCACCGTTCCTGGAAAGATGGGGTCATCGGAGCTGCATTTGTGAGAGTGAATGCGGCCGTGTGGAAATCACTGCTAAGGGAGAATGGGTACAGCTGTCCTCTCTGGTAATTAGAATCCAGGTAATCTGTGTTCAGGGCTTGCTTGCTTCCCAGATTGCTCACAGAGGTGATGGCGTCAGCCTCATTAATCACCTCCTCAAGGCTGCTGTTGGGGTCATCAATCTGAAAGAAGAGAGCAAGTGTTGAGATGTATCCAGTTCACAGCAGACAGGGTGCCCTTGAATCATTCTGCCAAGACTCTGGAGAAGTCCCTTTGACACTCCCACTTCCTACACTTGGGTCTGGAAGGGCTTGGTTCTCCAGTGTGCACACACGCTTCCTTCTACTAGCTCATAATCCTGGTATTTGAAAGCATCTTTCAAATAGGCTGTTTCCTATTTTATGCTCTGTGTATCCTCCATTCCTACTCAGCAATAACACCCGGACACACACACACACAAATACACCATAGTAACATTCATTTTTAATCTGCTGTGGTTCTAGGAATTTCATAGTTTTTTTGGAATATGTTTCCATGAGATTCAAAGTGATTGTAAAAATGAAAACAAGAAGAAAGTAGATCTCCACAGGCCCATAAAAACCAGAACTGCAATTCAGATAATCAGTCAGCAATGTTGGCTGCAATTTAATAAACGTATTCTTGATGAATGTTTATACACTTTGGGATATGTGAAAAACAATCAACTCTAATCAAAGCATTTAAATCAAACGGGGGAAATGTATAGCTTTTTGTCAGGTATTAGATACTTACTAGGCCAAGCTAAAATTCAAATTTGACCAACTGCTATTTGAACTTCATCTCCCCATGACATTTGTTATTATTAACAATTCATTTTCTGTCTAGGTCAATTTATATATGTGCTATTCTAATAATGATCAACAAATACATCCCTTCTTGGTTCTGCTTTTTTTTTGGTATTTTTATTTTTAATTCAGCAGCATAATGTATACTTTCACTTTATCAATTTGAAAGGACAAAAGGAAACAGGTTAAGATTGACTCAAAACTGTTTTTAGCTCCCAAACTAGACTTTCAGGGACCCTGTATATTCCCCATAGGAACTAGCCAAAGGCTGACACATACTAGAATCTCAAGGCACTCTTGTTCATCTACACCCTGAGATGATCATGCAGTATTTATAACAGCAGGACATTGAACCAACCCACATTTTCAAAAACAAGGTAAGGTTAAGTAAATGATGTTATATCCATCCAAGAAATATTTCAAAGCCATTAAAAAGCACTTGTAATTATGATGACTTTATAATTTGTAATGATGGGGAAATATATGCTATAAGGTTGAAAGCAAAAGGCAGGATATACAATTAAATGAAAACTTTTTTAAAATCTAAAAATAGGCAACAAAAACTTTGGAAGGAAACACATGAAAATGTCCGCCATGGTTATTTGATTTTTCGGGATGCGAACAAAAAAGAAATAAATTAAAATACGTAAATGCTTCACAATTGATTCCCTAGAGTTGGTGCTACTCACTAAACCCATCGCTAAACTGAAGGAAGTCAAGGCCATGTGAATTGTGTTGTACCTCTTGTCGGTGGGACAACCAACTGTGCAATGGCAAATGCAGGCATGTTCACGGAAGTATCGGTAGGGTGAGGGCAATGGATGAGGGCAAACTGGTATGAAAGCAGGAATATTTACTGAAGTCTAATGGACTAATCCATGGCCTTACCCTTCCAGGGTGTTCCATGCCTTCCCTGAGTCTTAGACTCAACAATGATCCTAGATGTTTTCCAATCCCACCAGATCCCCAGAGGACAGAGATAAGCAGCTCATTCATCTTGTAAAGCATCTCCTGCTGCTCTCCTATGGCTGAAAGATACACCCCATGGGAATAGCAGCCTCATTCCTGAAATATGAGATCAAGATACGGCAGAGCCAAGATTATGAAGGCTTCAGGGTAAGGGCAGGGATTTCAAGATGCATGTATCTCCACGGTAACTAGGGCATTATGTCTGCATTTAGCCTGCTATATAGCTTTTTGTTCCCCTTAAGGGAAAATCTGGAGCTGGTTTTTGAATTGGTAGCCCTATGACAGAGCATATGCGGCATGCGGGTGTGTTTTCAGCCCAAGGGTTATCCAGGGATGAAAAAGTGTCTACAGGAATAGATGTCAGGCCTGGAACAAGAGCAGAGAAGACAGACTCTTGGATGAGGAAAGGGAAGGAGCAAGAGAAAGAAGCAGAAGGGGAGAGATAAAAGAGGGGGAAGAAAAGGAGAGAAGTGAATGAAAGAGATAGAGAAAAGCGTGTGTGTTGGGACGGCCAGGTGGCTCAGTTGGTTAGAGTGCCTGCTCTGAACAACAAGGTTGCCGCTTCAATTCCCACATGGAATGGTGGGCTGTGCCCCCCTCAACTAGATTGAAAACGGCAACTGGACTTGGAGCTGAGCTGCACCCTCCACAACTAGACTGAAGGACAATGACTTGACTTGGAGCTGATGGGTCCTGGAAAAAGCACACTGTTACCCAATAATAAAAAAAAAAGTGTGTGTGTGTGTGCATATAAGACACAACACAATATTCTGCTCTTAGGCAGAAACCAAGACCGTGGGTTGATTTACTCCCAATCTTTAGGACATGCTAGAACATGGTCTACCACCTGCCAAGGTCAGAGGAGACTTAGCTAGTTGCTTCTGCATCCTCAGGCCACTTGGGTTCATGGGGCTTCAGATTTCTGCTATGGCTGTGCAGGTGAAACCTTTTCTGCCCACACTTCACAGGTACAAGGGCAATGGGCCAGGAGGAAGCCGAGGTGGCTGGGAAGGCCAAGGCCTAGTTCTACAATGGGCCCTGTGCACCTCCGCGCCCTGGGACTCCCTAGGCAAAACAGTAACTAAGCTATATGCTCTGGATACACAGGCAGAGGAGAGCATATCTTCACTCCCCTTCTCCTTGCTTTTTCAGAATCCTATATCCATGGTCACTATATTTTTATGATCTCCAAGTTTGGCTACATGATTTAATGACAAGGTAGAACATATTGTCTGAAATCAAGACAGAATGCCTGCATACTGTACTTATATAGCAATGTGTGGGGGTATCAGGGACTAACATGGTTTGAACTACCAATGAACTGTTTTCAATACAACACTCTACAGAAGATATTTTTACCTTATTTTACAGATGGGGAAACAAAGACCCAGAAAGATAAAGTAATTTTTCCAAAGTCACCCAATAATTAGCAGGAAGAGAATTTGAACTGAGGTCAGCCTTTTTCTTCCTAAAGCATATGTGCTTTATTTCTAAGCCATACTTCCTCCCATCTTAATGGACACTGTTGTACTAGTTTCCCCTACCAGAGAGTAGGAAAACAACACGGCATTATCTGCCATCTCCTTTGGTCTCTGTGGCATGAAACAAATGAAGTTCCCCTGGGTGGCAGGGAGGGAAGCTGATATTCGAGGCCCTGGTGCTGCAGTCCCAAACTGAAGAGAGAATGGAAAGAAGGCAAAAGGACGCAGAACAGGCTCGGCTTCAGGCCTTTCTGCCTTTGCCCAGGGCATATGGCAGTTGAGCCACTAGCTTCACAGTCCAAACCTGTGGCAGCACAGTCAGTGGGCAGCTGGCCGGAGCAGTTTCCAGAGTACGGCTACCCTTGGAAACTGGTCAGGTAGCTGTCCCCAAGTGCTCCTGGTTACCAAGTCACTGGGCTACTCCTTGTTTCCCCTCTACACCATCAGGGGTAGTAGAGAACACCAAGCACAGCAAAACCTCTTGGGGAAAACCTGTAAAATCAGTCCCCTCACCACAACCTCCTCCACGTCCACTCTACACGGTGGAGTTAAACAGTTAGTTAAGGGACTCTATACAGTCAGGGTCACCTAAATAAATTGTAGGGCTTAACTGAATCTGGACTCTGTTCCTTAAGACTTTCTATTTTCAATGAACAAAGACTCATTCATGTTGCCTCCTGTAAGGATGGGTTCACTGCAATGATAGGAAAACACTGAACCCCAGAAAAGTTGAATCAATAGGCTCCACCAAGACCCAGGAATTGTGGTACAGCTTGGCATTGCTGGAATCAGAAAAGAATTCCAGGCAGCCCTAAGGAACTCTGGAAGCAAGCGCCTGTGGTTGAGACTAATTAGATATTAATGTTTGCCATTAATGAGGTTCAGTCACATTTGACTGGTCAGATTTTTTCTCTCTCTCCCTCCTGGCTTCTTCACCTACTTCTTTCTACATAGCTCTTCTCTACTTCATGGCTTTTCCTGACTTATGGTCTCTGTTCATCACAACTTGTGCTTGCACAGAGGCCATCATGGCCTCCCTAGCCACTGACTAGATCATTAACCTGCAATTGTAGCTTCTTCTGTTATGTAATTTCCTACTGCAAATGCTCAAGAGACAGAATCTGATTTATCCAAATCATCTTTTCATATCAGGCCATGTTAAGACAGGCCTATGAAATAGCTATCCTTGAGTTAAATGTTCACCTTTCTTTAACCAACTGTGGCTGGGTGCTAGGGAAAGAACTCTGGTGATCCACATAGGGCCTCCCCTCCATCCGGGACCATGTATGAGTAAGGCATCCTTGGCTTGTCTCGTCTAGTCATACCCTTAGTTCAATGTACTAATGTAGATAAACGAGTGTGAATACTACCAGCCAAAGTTAAAACACGACATAAAAAATGGATAAATTTCCCAAGGTTTATCTAATCTAGTATTAAATCTCTGACAAATATACCAAAGGATGTTTTATAAGACAACATGCTGATCCTCCTTGGAGGATCCAATTAGATATACATCAAAACCTCTTTCCATCCTTTCTGTGTCTTATTTTCTTTTTCATATGTTATATCTCATTAACTCTCTATATTGTATTCTAGGTGAGTTCCTCAGATCTATCTTCTAATTCATTAGCTTTCTCTTTAGCTATGTCTAGTCTACCTGTTCGTTGTGTTTTTCTTTTTTCATTTTAATGACTTTTTTTCTTTTCTAGCATTTCTATTTAGTTCTATTTCAAATTTGCTTTGTTGTTTTCTCTTTATTATCTTTCAATAAGTTAGACATGCTTATCTTAAAGTCCCTTTAAGATTTCTCTATTCTTTTTGTTTTTCCAGTTTATTTTGTTGATTCTATTGGTTGACTTCAAGGCAGTGGGTATATTAAGTACTTTGCAATTTTTGCTGGTGAGTTCA